TAAAATCTAGGATATCTTTTACTATTACACCCTGAAACAATATCGATCTATATTTATCATTCGGTGGTTTTGTTTCAAACCAAATTTTGATATTTTTTAATCATACATGCAACGATTTTCATCTCCGAGTTAAAACTTATACGTTTGCAACAGATATTTTAGTGGTTTTCATACTCATACTGTGTCAAAGACTGCTAGTTTTAACTATTTTAATTTATATTATTGGAAAATACAGTGATTATTTTCAGAAAACTTCATTTCAGAACCATATTTTAATACTCTGAAACTTTTGAAAAAAAAAACACTTTCTACTATAATGACAACCAGATATTACATTATTTTTTACAAAAACATGAAAATTTTTCCTAATTCCTCTTCTATATATACTAATAAATTCTGCTGTAGGAAGAAGATTCAATTCTTATTATTACTCTATACACTATTTTCAAAGAAAACAGACACTCTAGATGATAACATAGCATCATATCATCCATATATTTTTAAAAATTTAAAACATCTTCAGTAAGGCAAATTATCTACAGAGTTTTCAAATACGGATATATTTCTGAAAGAAACTGCCTAACATACCGCTCTTTTACTTCTAAACCATTTGAATAAAACCAACCAATTAATAAAATAGTTGAATTTTCAATATAGTACAGCTAATTAATTGATGAAATGCCAAATTTTGAAAATAATAAGAGTAAAAACATCAATATTTCAGAAATTAGGAAGATATCTTCAATAATGAGAGTGAACATATACTGAACTTCATGCTAGCTTTTTATCATTTCGAACCAAACATTTCACTTTTTCGTAGATTCTAAGAACATAGTCTAATCGTTTTCATAGAATATATATCCTTTCACATTAAGTAGAGAGTGCCATACTAGTTTAATTTCAGATGCTTACTGAATGACTCTAAAACGTTCAAGAAAACAAAATCAAATATTTTTCATCTTTCATGAAAATTTGTGAATAATAATTATATCTCATAAGAGTTTGAAGACTTAGTGCGATGAAACAGTATCAAAAATAGAAAACATTCCCATTGAAAATTTTAGATATTCTTATATAAAATTATATTCGAAGATATATCACTTCAGTCGAACTTGAAAACCAACCAGATGTATCACATGTATCACATGATTTGATACATTTCTGGTAGTTTTTCCGAAAATAAAAGTTTCTATTTTGCATAAGCAAACTATTACAACGAATCAATGACATTTTATACCCATATTATTAGCAATTTTTACTGCACAATACTATTTTAAGTGCCATATTCGAAGCTGAACACCCATACATTTCACATAACACTACAGTTACAGCAACTAGAACTAGAAGAATGCTGGTTAATCTATATCAAATTCAGAACGTAGAATACAACGCTCAAGGATCCACTTAAAGAATACATTAAACCGTTCAAAAAATTAATCACATTTTATATAATTCTATGCATATTTCACATATTAAGCACATTTCACGTTTTTAGAAATGTAGTATCACGTTTTCCAAGACGATGATTCCAAGATCCAACCTTATGAAAATGATTCATCTAAGGTAAGATGGGGTAGTTTTATTATCTTAAATTCGTAAACGCGTGATTAGGAAAGTGACAGCCTGTTAAACTACCACTACCAGGATATGTACATATCCTAGTTTAACAAGGCCTCACTTCCCTAGTCGCTTGTTTAATCTTCACTTCCCTAATCGCTCACTTCCCTAATCGCATTTGGTAACACTGAAGAGCTTAAAAGCATGCATTCAGATAAAAATGATGTAAAAACTTTAAGGAAACAATCAGAATATGCAGGAAATGTTAAAGTTTCAAAATTTGAATAAAGTTAATAATGACGTAAAATAGTACAGTCGTGGTAAGAATACTGCAGGATGATAAATTGTAGAATTGGCAAATTAAAATAGTATTATAAAATGTAGACTAAGTAAGGGATATTCAGTGCATTGGATATAAATAATAGTTATCAGTTGTAAAATAAAATGCTTAATTGTAAACTATCTCTATGTTTCAGACATTTAAATATATGTAAATTTAGCTGAAATAGTAAAATCTAAAGCGTGATTACAGTCGAAAATTATAAAAAAGAGTTAAAATGTAGAGTTGTTGGGAACTAGGAAGTAAAAATGTGTCAGGAAAGTATAAAAATTACATCTAAAATTAATTAAAGTGCATGCATACGGTAGGAAAATGTTATAGACAAGTTCAAAATTAGATTATTTTAAAAATTACGAAGGTTTGAAAGTACGAAACACGTTAAAAATAGCATCTAAAATTAAATAAAGCCCATATATATGGTAAGAAAATCGATGAATTAAGCTAAAGAGCCTGTTTGAAATTACGAAGGTTAAAACGTACGAAAACAGTCAAAAATTAAATGAGAGTCATGTATATAGATAATGTGAAAATATAGCAAATTAGTTAAATTCAGAGTATGTTGGAAACTAAAAATATTAAAAAATATAAAAGAAGTTAAAATTTACATCTCAAATTAAATAAAAGTTAGGTATATGGTAGGAAAATATAATAAATAGAGTACTTTAAAAATTATGAATGTTTAAAATGTACGAAACACGTTAGAAATATCATCTAAAATTAAATAAAGTTCATATATATGATTAGAAAATAGAGGAATTAAGCTACAGTGAAGGATGTTTGAATTACGAAGGTTAAAACGTAAGAAAGTAGTTAAAAATAATGAAGTTATGTACATGTGTGAAAATCTAGCAAATTGGTTAAAAATTCAGAGTATGTTTGAAACTAAAACGTTAAAAAGTAGAAAAGGAGTTAAATTTAAATCTAAAGTTAAATAAAACTATAATCTAGGAAAATATACAATTGTGTTAAAATTAATTTATATTGGAATTTGGGTTAAATGTCTGAAAAATAAAGTAAAGTCATTTATAGTGTGAAATTTAATTGGTTTAAAAATTAGAGTATTTTAAATTATGAAGGTTAAAATGTATAAACCAAGCTAAAATGTACATATAAATTAAGTAAAGTTATCTGTATGATAGGAAATATATAAATACAGAATATGTTAAAGATCACTAATCTAAAAAGAGCAAAAAAGTAAAAATTGCTCTAACGTTGAATAATTTAATAAAGAAAGGAAAATCTGAATAATATGCTCATAAAAAAAGAAGAAGTTAAGAGTATTGGTTAAAAAGCATGAAAATAATTATGGGTAATAAAATTTAATACTTAAAATGAGTCATGTAGTTAAAATTACGGAAAGTAAGTCTGGTATTATGAACAGAAGATTTAAGAAATAAAGGAAAATTCAGAGTATATAGAGAATTAAATGTCTTAAAAATATATGGAAATATAATAAAAATTTACATGTAAAATTAAGGCCTTCTGAATCAATCGTTAAATTCGAAAATAAGCGCTGTTAAGGGTACCTAGGAAATAATCATCATATACGTAATAAATAGTGGGAACACGAAGAAAAATTACAAAGTTTAAAACCTGATTAACAAAAACCATGGGAAAATCAATAATCTCTTATCAAAGTGTGAGATCATCTTATCAGTTATATGAAGAATCCTGAAACACTCCCTCTCATCTGCTACGCCTCCGCGTACTTCACCTCCCCAATACGCCTGCGAGTTTGCACCGCTCACCGCCTCCTGGCACTGAACCGGCACTTTTCTACTACTAAAGTTTAATAAATTCCAATAATATTATAAGGTATTTTCTCCGCCTTCTTAGCATGCCTTCGTGGTGTAATGGTCTGCACATCTGGTGCGTATTCGAGAGGTCCGAGACTCGAGTCCAGGCGAAGGCATCGCCCATTTTTCCCGTCTCCCGCATCGAAATAACCTAATGACTCTACAGTGGCCCCCGAACTAAAAACGGTGGTGGTTGATGATTCCCCACTACCAGGATTTAACGACTAGGGTCCCCTAATCCCTAGTCGCCCTTTAAAAAAGTAAGTATATAAGGTATTTCTCCAGCCTTCTTAGCATGCCTTCGTGATGTAATGATCAGCACACTCGGCGCGTATTCGAGAGGTCTGAGATTCGAGTCCCGGCGAGGTAACTGCACATTTTTCATGTCTTCTGCTTCGAAATAACCTAATGTCTCTACAATATAAAATATTATTTATTATATATAGTGCAAGTTAATTATATAGTATATTTAATAGGTAATCGAATATATAAACAAACATTCTTTTTTAATTTCAAGAAACTAACGCGAAAAGATTTGCTTGGGTGCATTCAACCCGGAAATTTTTAATTCTTGGACAAAATATTGGAAAGAATACCCTTTGAAGAGTATGCTTTCAAAGCGAAACCTTTATAAATTTTTATTAAGAAATCTGCTGATATTTAAAATTTAATAGTTAATTATTTGATAAACTTTGTATAAATTAGTGCTCTTATGGAGTACAGGAAAACTGCCACTGTGAATATTCTTTAATAGTTATGTATTACTGAAATGGCAGTTATTTAAATTAATAAATAAAAGCTTCAGTTAAAATGCAATTAAAAAATTAAGTAAATTTAGTGACATATCTTGCTTTTCTTTCAGAAATTTGAGAAAAAATGTTGAATTTAATTCTTCTAATATTATTTACAACGTTCTGGGCAAGCAGTGATGCATGTAAGTTTCATTTTTATGGTATTATTTTTGCACAAAATTCAAATAATGCTCTGTAACTGTTGTTTTTCCTTTGAAATGCAACGTCTTATTTCTGCTAATATTGCAAATGTAATTTTATACAATTTTCCAGAATTTAATTCAGAAGTCAAGCAACAAAAATCAGCGTTATATTTACAAAATTTTCACAGGACTAGTTTCGATGGTTTTACCGAACCACCATCTTCAGCTGCAAAAAGAAATGAACCAGATAGAAATAATGATTAGATAAGAAGAAAGCTGGACAAGAATAAGCAAGTGGTGCCATCTGTTGGTGAAACCAGAACTAAAACATATTTCTTTAAGGCCGAAGCAAATTTGGATTGGAATAGATCGTTAACTAGAACAGAAAGATTTTTATGAAGTGAAATGCCTCTAGAAAATCCAGTTCTCCAGGAAGATGTTTTTTGAATAATTTTGGCAGCAGAAAAACTGAAAGTGTGGTTTTCGGACCACAATGTTGAGCAACAGAAGACTTCTGTGTTTCCTTTTTTCTACATATGCCTCATGTTCCTTGACGCGAAATTTTAAGGCTCTCTTAGTTTGGCCAATGTAAATTAAACCACACGGCAAGGAATCCTATAAATACCCAGGAATTCATATCCGGAATGCGTCCTTGAGTATGGAACTCGGAATTTTATGATGGGAGAATAAAACAACCCGAAGTTAAAAATTCTGCAAAATATGTGCAACTTTATAGCTAATTGATGGAAAGAAGGAAATGACAACAGAATTTTTATAATCTCCTAAAACAGAGTGGCCTTTTAGTGTGTTGAGATGAGAATTTGTTACTGCTTGATTAATATGTTGGTGGAAAGCCCCTGTCAATAGCTATTGCTTTTAAATAATTTAGTTCTTCATCAAGGCTATTTGGAGGAGCAAACTTGAAGAGCACGGAAAACATAGGAATAAATGAAGCTAACTTTTGTTTAGTCGGATGACATGATTTGAAGTGTGGTGGAAGGCTAATCGATGAAGGTTTACGGTAAACCGTAGTACTGAAGTTGGATATGATACTTGTGACCAAAATGTGGAGGAACGGAAGAGAATTGCAATGTCTCAAGTTGAAAGTGAACTAAATAGCAGGATTCATGGAATTCATTGTTGAAAGAACTTTATAAAAATTATTTTTATTACCTTCAAAGAGGGTAAAAGTATCGTCCACGTAGCGAACCATGCCGGAAGTTTAAAGTTTCAAACAATTTTGATTCATAATAATGCATGTAGATATCAGCCAGGATGGGACTGAGTGGGCTTCCCATGGCTAATCCCTCAGTTTGCTTGTAATATTTATTTTAGAAAACAAATGTGTTTGTTTCAAACAGAGTTGAGTGAGAGAAATTAGCTCATCAATTTCGATGCAAGAGAAATGAAATTCGCGAAATCTGGTTTCTAGACATCTTAATGCACCCTCCACTGGGACATTGGTGAATAATGATTTTACATCAAAAGAAACCATGAGTAAATTACTAGGAGAAATGTTTTTAACTTTTTTTACAACTCTATTGAATTTTTTATGGTGTAAATGTTATTATTATTATTATTTTCAACTCTATTGTCTAATAGAGTTGAAAATCTAGAAACTAAATATTTAGCTAATGGATACGAGGCAGTACCTAAATTTGATACAATAGGGCGGAAAGGAATACCACTTTTATGAATTAAAAACTGCGATCAAATCTTCGCAAATTATTTCAGGCAACTTAAAACATTTACTTATCCCATCTGTTGCGAATTGTGCCAGATTATATGCTCTTCCTACAATTCATAAAAGTGGTATTCCTTTCCGCCCTATTGTATCAAATTTAGGTACAGCCTCGTATCCATTAGCTAATATTTAGTTTCTAGATTTTCAACTCTATTAGACAAACATTTACACCATAAAAATTCAATAGAGTTTTGTAAAAAAGTTAAAACATTCTCCTAGTAATTACTCATGGTTTCTTTTGATGTAAAATCATTATTCACCAATGTCCCAGTGGAGGGTGCTTAAAATGTCTAGAAACCAGATTTCGCGAATTTCATTTCTCTTGCATCGAAATTGATGAGAATAATTTCTCTCACCAACTCGTTTGAACAAACACGTTTTGGTTTTCCAAAATAAATATTACAAGCAAAATGAGGATTAGCCATGGGAAGCCCCCTCAGTTCCCATCCTGGCTGATATCTACATGCATTATTATGAATCAAAATTGTTTTGAACTTTAAACTTCCCGCATGGTTCCGCTACGTGGACGATACTTTTACTCTGTTTGAATGTAATAAAGATGATTTAAATAAAGTTCTTTCAACAATGAATTCTATTGATCCTGCTATTCAGTTCACTTCTGAACTTGAGACTTGCAATTCTCTTCCGTTTCTCGACATTCTGGTCACACGTAACACATCCAACTTCAGTACTACGGTTTACCGTAAACCTTCATCGGTTTGCCTTCCACCACACTTTAAATCATGTCATTCGACTAAACAAAAGTTAGCTTCATTTTATTCCTATGCTTTCCGTGCTCTTCGAGTTTGCTCCTCCAAACTAGCCCTTGATGAAGAACTAAATTATTTAAAAGCAATAGCTATTGACAGGGGCTTTCCACCCAACATTATTAATCAAGCAGTTAACAAATTCTCATCTCAACACACTAAAAGGCACACTCTTGTTTAAGGAGATTATAAAAATTCTGTTGTCATTCCCTTCTTTCCATCAATTAGCTATAAAGTTGCACATATTTTGCAGAAATCTAACTTTCGGGTTGTTTATTCTCCCATCAATAAAATTCCGAGTTCCATACTCAAGGACCGCATTCCGGATATGAATTCCTGGGGTATTTATAGGATTCCTTGCCAGTGTGGTTTAATTTACATTGGCCAAACTAAGAGAGCCTTAAAATTTCGCGTCAAGGAACATGAGGCATATGTTAGAAAAAAGGAAACACAGAAGTCTTCTGTTGCTCAACATTGTTGGTCCGAAAACCACACTTTCAGTTTTTCTGCTGCCAAAATTATTCAAAAAACATCTTCCCTTGGAGAACTGGATTTTCTAGAGGCATTTCACATTCATAAAAATCTTTCTGTTCTAGTTAACGATCCTAATTCCAATCCAAATTTGCCTTCGGCCTTTAAAGAAATTATGTTTTAGTTCTGGTGTCACCAACAGATGGCGTCACTTGCTTATTCTTGTCCAGGCTTTTTTATCTTATCTAATCATTATTTTCTATCTGGTTCATTTGCGGTTTTGCAGCTGAAGATGGTGGTTTGGTAAAACCATCGAAACTAGTCCTGTGAAAATTTTGTAAATATAACGCTGATTTTTGTTGTTTGACTTCTGAATTAGTATTTATTCGGCGTGTTATTGTGTCTTAATTTCCAGAATTTATTTGCGAATTTTCAAAACAGAACTTACGTTATATTTCATGTTTCTAGTGTTAAACTAACACGAATTCGAATTTATTTGAACTCAAATCCCAAGCTATTTTATTAAATATTATAAATTCGATTAAGAGTGAACTGATTTGTCTTTTGGTTGCATTCGATTTTGTATTTTTCATATTGTAATATGTACTCAATTTTTTTCATCATTAATGTTCCGTAATGGGATTCTTTAATACAAATATGTTAATATGATTTATTTCGTCATTCATAAGTTAAGAAGGTAAAACTAGTGAGTAATACTTCCGTATAAGGTTCTATTTACCATTTAAGAAGTTGAAGCTGAATGCATTTATTTATAGTAAATAAAACAAATGTATTCTCATTACATAAAATAATGTTGGCTGCATACGGGTTGGTAATAGATTCAATGTGCACGGATCCAATGATAGGTTAATAAAATTTATTTTATCAAAGAAATACTTCAAATCTCTGGAATTTTTCCCACAGAAATACTCGCACAGCTGTTCACAGTATCACAGAGTACAATCAGTAGTTACTTTTCAAACTACTAATAACGTTAAACGCAATGTAAAGCGCATCTAAAGAGAAAGCTAACCCAGAGATACAGTTCACGCTGAACTAAAAACTCCCAACAATAACAATTAAACAACAACTAACTATTGAGAGCGGATTGCTCTCCGGCCCTATGTAGTTTTTAACTAGCTGCCGAGATATGTCTATCTATTTTCTGCTTCTCGAAATTACTGGAAAGCAATATGAGATTCGAATTGCGGTTGCAGCTAATATAGCGATCAATTACATTTATTCATTTACAATACCTATTACGGTGATACAGGGATCGGACCAAAATGTCCCTATATGGTCGCCAAGTTTGGCGACATTTGGCGATTTCTTGCCAAATTACCGAGACACCGAATGTTAAATGGACTTGCCCCTATATTCTTCCTTTTCCGGCATAGTTTGTCTCTTCAAATATTTTTTCTCGTTACATTACACCAAAAATTACAACAATTTCATATATAATTGCACTAAATCATCTATTTATGTAAAGATTCGTAATAATAATTTGCATAAATTTCTTTCGGAAGACTTTTCTATTGCAGTAGAAAGAAGATAAACGTTAACACCATAAATCGACGAATTATTACTATCCAAAACTACTTCGTTAATAAAGCTTCCAAAATGTTGTAAAATACATAAAAACATATTTTGAATTACACGGTTTTAATTAAAAATATTTCTTTGGTTATAAAAAAATTCAAATACTCTTAATCATGTATGTTTAAAAGTGTAGGCCTGCTAATAATGGATCTTAAATCAAAATCGTCAAAAAAATTTAGGCGATTTGAGTGCTATCTTTCTTTTACATTACATGTATCATTATTACACTAGAACTTCTATTGCTGTTTTGACATTCTATTAATACCTAACACAAGTCGTGGACAGAAGCTTCAAGATATTATTTTTAGTCGCATATGATCAATAAAATTTTTTAAAAAATTATTTTAGTACGTTTTATTAAATGCATGAACCTTAAAAGTATACTTTCATATATTTCATTTTGCTTTCTTTTATCGACAGAACACGGAAAAGCAACAAAAAGGAAAATTCATTACTTGTTAAATACATGTATTTTTTTCCGTATTTAGGCGTAAAGTTCTATTCAATCTATTTAAATTTCCGTTTGATTTAGAAATCTGATGTTACCATAAAACTGTTTGTTAATAGGTAAGTTTTCTTATTTTAAAAATTTACAGCTGCTGACAATACCACGGCAACTAAAAATCCAAACGATTTTCAAAAACATTCCAGAGTTCTGCAAAATAAGTTAGAAATTTTGAAAACTTTCAATTGAAAGATTATTTTTCAGCTTATCTGATAGTGTAATGATCAAACTTTTGCGATGATTAATTTGATGGTTAAAAAAGGATTTGTGAGAAAAATCCAAAACCAAACTAAAAGTGTCGAGTTTCAAAAATAAATTTCGTGGGATATTGTGTCATCATCATAAATATGTATGCACTGAAAACGTCAAGAAAATCGGATCTCTAGGATATCAAAAATTAATTTGAAGAATTTAAACAAATAAACCAAGAAAAATTTACCGGTGCTAAGTTATACATTCTTACACGACAAGATTCTTCTACGACAAGATTATTAATAAAATATCCGCTATTTTAACTACTGTTATATTTTTATTTATAAATATTTATAATCAGTATTATAATGACTAATGAAGATTTCCCAGTGGCGAAATGATTGCGATCATGAAGCAACAGATTTCACCCTAGGTACTATTCTCGACGGTTGAAAGGACCACCTCTGCAGCAGCATAAATATAGATTAACTTTCCTGATCAAGTTTTTTATTATAATACTGATTATAATACTGTTCATAAATATTTATAATCAGTATTATAATGGCTAATGAAGCTTTCCCAGTGGCGAAATGATTGCGATCATGAAGCAACAGATTTCACCCTAAGTACTATTCTCGGCGGTTGAAAGGACCACCTCTGCAGCAGCATAAATATAGGTCAACTTTCCTGATCAAGTTTTTTATTATGGTATTCCTTTCCATGTGCAGATAAGCTTAACGTGCTTTCCTTAATTTAAAATTCACAATCCTATTCCTGTCTTTTGATGTGTGGACAACAAAAGGATGAGAAGAAACGAGATAGTAGAATGGGATATTTCTACCATCTCGTAAAAAAAATTAGGTCTAAGGATGTACTTGTATAAAACAAGTTTATTGTTGATAGTCAGATTACTATGTCTGCCGAGGAGAGGACGCATAGTAGCTATTGAGATATTGAATTTCCTGACAGTTTCGTGTAAATGTTGCCGAAAAGTGAGTTTTTTGTCAAGTGTGACTCCAAGATACTTCACTTGATCCGTCCACTGAATATCGTAGTCAAAGAAGATGGGATTAGGCGGAAGGAAGTTTGTTTGTCCTTTTCTGAAAATAATGGCTTTGGGTTTTGTCAGTGTTAACGGCAATTCTCCAAAGCGTCATCTAGTTTTCAAGAAACTCCAAATAGTTTCGTAGAAAAATTTGTACAGTACTGATTGTTGAAGCTTGAGTTAGGATAGCGGTATCGTCGGCAAATAAGGTGATAGTAATATGAGATTCTTTTGGAATGTCTTGAGTATAAATATTGTAAAGATAAGGAGAGAGAACGGAGCCTTGAGGGACACCTGCAGTAACATTTCTTGTAGTTGAGAGGTGTTTCCAATTTTGATAGCAAAAGTGCAATTTTTGAGGAAAGAGGCAATAAGTCGAATAAAGTGGTTCGGAAAATTGAGCTGAATTAGTTTGAATATAAGTCCTTGGTGCCACACTCTGTCAAAGGCTTTGGCAATATCTAAGAAAATTGCGCCGGTAGGAAATTTCCAATTGAATCCATCAGTAATGTAAATGATAACTCGGAGAAGCTGATGATTGGTGCTGTGAAGATGTCTGAATCCAAATTGTTCATCGGGAGTATAAGAGATAGGAGGCATGATTCGATTAATATAAAACAGAATCATTTTTCAGCAATTTTAGAAATTTGACTGAGTAAAATGATAGGCTGATAATTTTCGGGAAAAGTAGAACTTTGATGAGGCTTAGTAAAGACAACACAATTGCATGTTTCCATACTTTTGAGAAGTAAGAGAGTTTGATAACTGAGTTAATAATTTTAGTTAAGCACGTAATTACATAACGTAAGAAACGCCATAACATCCAGTAGAATCGTGAAAGGTGGAATTGAGTGGTCCAGGGCTATTAAGGAAAGAAGATACTGTGCTATTTGACTTTGGTGATATGATCATTATCATATGGGGAAGCATTGGGAGTAAAGGTATCTTCAAGAATGTCAGCGAAAGTATTGGCTTTGTCTTCATGGTTCCATTGCAACCATGAAGTGGAGGAATCTGCTTGAAAGACTTTTTGAATTTACGACCAATGTCATAGAGGGAATTGTCTTCAGTAGCAAGAGTGTTTAAGAAGTTGCTCCACCGTTGAGACTTAAATTTCCTGATATATTTTTAATGGTCCTTTGAAGAGCGTTTAGGTGAGCTGTAATTCTTGGGTCTCTAGTAGATTGCCATAATTTCCTGATGCGATTTTTATATTTAATATTATGCCTGATATTATTAAAGGATGATTACTGATGAATTTATTGGCAGGAGAACTTAAAGCTTGTTCAACACTGTTGGTAAAATTTTGAGTTTCCGTGTCTAAGGCTTCTTTATTGCTAATGCAGAGATTTCCTGGTATAGGTTTAGTCAGAATTTGATAACAACTACGGATAAACCGCCTGCCAACCACAGAGCTCCAAAGTTTTTCAGCTTCTGACGTCACAGCTTCGACCAGGTAGCAACATAGTACATCTCTTCAACAGTTCGCCATATACACTTTTCGGCATGGTTTGGAATAACTGATTTGGATGGAAGTGATAAGGCAATATTACTACAAACTTGTGAATTCTATACGCATCATCTTAACATCTATAACAGAACAACAAATGCTATGTATTGCTCAGCTGTTACGCACAGAATGAAACTTTTATCCAGATGTCTGCTTCCATGTGACTGCATCAGCTAAGAATGGTTATAATCTTATCTAAAATTTATTTTATTTGCTTTCTGTTTTTGCATTAAATTTTTTATGAAACTAAAAGTATAACGTTAAAGCTTTCGTTGGTTTTTGTTTATTTTCAGAACACTTTTTAATATTTTCTCATTTTATTCTTCTGGTGTTATATTTAGTGCACTTCTTTGTGTTCGTTTATAGTTCATTAGGCTGTGAATAGTAATTTTGTTTATGTGTCAACAAGACGTTTTGTATCATTTGCTTTACTGGACTGTTATAGGTGCTGGTATTGAAATAGTGTCTCGGGCACAATGGCAGGCCCGGCAGCCTAAGTGGACGGTGCCAATTCACCGACAAGTGGAACATGTTTTCATTGCTCACACTGTTACACCGGAATGCCATAATAAAGAAATGTGCTCGGCTAGAATGCGCAGCATGCAGAATTTTCACATGGATATGAAGGGTAATCAGAAACTTGCAAAAATGTTATCTTTTGTTTATTTTATTAATTTTAAAATTTTTTTAAAAGTTGCGAGATATGTGAATGAAAAGATTAATACAATTTATTTTTACATTACGTATTAAATGCATTTCTACAAGATAAAAATCTGTTCAACGCTAAATATTGGCACAATAAAACCTATACAAACTAAACCTATATTTTCCAACAAAGTAATCATTCATAGTATTAAATACCAATCTTTTTTTTTCTTTCCCTATTACGGACACTCACAAAAATTTAGAAGGAAGAAGCGTATTGCCTCCATTCCCGGTAAGAAATAACTTGCCTTGAAAATTTTTTCTTAAGGAATCTTCCAAAACTTGAAACTCATCGATGATCAGGGTGAGATCTCGTAGTAATATTTATTCCTACGTTTGCAAGCGAAAGATTGTGATGTCACTGAACATTGGAAAACGAACCTGGACATGAAAAATTAGATAGGGGAAATAAAAAAAGAATTTTTTTTAGGTATTCTAAATCTATTTATGTCTTTCTCAGTTTATATACGAGTATATTATTCAGGAATCTTTAAATAGAGGTGCACTGCGAGAAAAAAAAAAGGGGGGACAGTTCTGTATCTCCCGTTCTACTGGGCCGATTGACAAAATTCAAATTCTGTTTCTCTTGTCTCGAAAGCGTGACTTAAGACATATATTGCATTTATATACAGCACTGTTTTAATATAGGTATTATGACACAAAATCATAATACCTATATTAATGTATTTAATATATTAATATAGGTATTATGGTTTTGTGTTAATACCTATATTAATATATTAAACATATTAATTATCTATATTTAATATAGGTATTATGACACAAAATCATAATACCTATATTATTTTGACACAAAATCGGACTTTTTCTGAAATGACAAGCTAATTTTTTCCATATTCCTATTCTACGACTTAAATTATGCACCTAAATATTAAATTTTATAAAATTTGGTGCGAAATTTATGGAGAAATTGAAAAATGTATCTTGGCGTACTTATTTCTGTTTACGCCCAGAATAATTCACTTGGCGAACTTCTTAATAGCATATGGCAACCTATTTTCCTTTTCCTTTTTACATTGTGCATAAGCAAGAAAATAAGTTACATCCTTCCTACTTCCAAATAATAGTAGCAAAGTGTCTAAACTACATTTGATGTTATTATCGCTTTCAACAAATATGCCAAATTTCAAAACGCGCCAATATGTAAATTCATGTATATCTTCAGAAATTTTGAATAAAAAAAAATCTAGTTTTTTGCAGGTGTGCCTAGAAGTACATCTGCTTTAAGATGATGTTAAAAATTTTATACTATAAAACATCTTTCGAAAATTTATAAAAAATATTTTAAAATACAAATTTTAAAAAGAATTCATAAAAAATGTGCGAATTATATTTGGTTCAAGCCTAAATTTCGATTCTGGAAGAAGGAGTCAGGTAAGTTTAATAAAAAAAAACAGTGATTAATAAACATATCTCAAACTCAATTAGCATTGAGCAGCTAATATTTTGAGAGCTAATTTTTTCAAAAACTACTCATGCGAATTTTACAAAACTTGGCAGTTTGGCATAATTTGAGTCGTAGAATCGAAATGTGGAAAAACATTTTACAATAATTAAATTTATATATATCACACAGAAGTGAAACACTTAATGAATTATAACAGGAAAGTAATCCTACATCAAGACTGAAATCGAGCTAAGGGAGAATATGTATAAAACCCATCATTCAGAAGGCACCAAGAAATGAAGCAGAGTAATCATCTCTATTATCAGGCTGACTCTGAGTCGTAGAGGCTCTTATAGTACTCTTCAATGTCTAAAATTTCCGATATACATTGACTCAGTTTTCAAGCTGATCATTAGATGAATACGCAGGAAATCATTGATTAGATGAATACGCAGGAGAGGAGGGTTTTCTCTATTTTCGTCTAGTTTATCATATGAATAGAAGTAATTTCTCTGTAGAAAATCAGTTACATGAGAGCTAATTTTCATCCGCTCTCCCATTCCTCTCTAATTAAATTTTAGCACAATGCTTCTGCAGAGGTTTGTGACTAACTTTTGAAAAGATTCTAGCAAAATTTCCAAGTTATATTGAAAGCATTTTTACTATCACATATCAACTTTAATGTTTTAAAATATAATCGACTTAAGGATCGCATATTTTATGCACTTAATTGTTTACCTTGATCCAGTGAACATCTGCTATTATTGATTCTAAAACTGTGCAAAAGATTTGACCTAAATGGCAAACATTTATACCGAGTTTTAAAAAAATTGTTATTGAAGATGAAACTTATTGCTTTATTTGAAATCCTGAGACAAAATTGTAATCATGTGTTTGTGCTGGAAAAATTTAGCCAAGGATAAAGAATCTTCAGTTTTAGAAATCTTGAGTACAGGTCCTGTTAGTGCCTATCCTAATTGAGAGATAATTCATGAGGATTTTGTTTCTCAAAGACAGATGGTGAGCTCTGTATTTTATAAAAACTCAAAGGAGAGAGAATTTAGCACAGGGCTGAGAGTGTATAATCCAATAGCAGGTTTCTGTTGCACAATAATCCCCCATCAAGACTGACATCAAGCGAAGAAAGAATAGGCGTAAATTCTTTCTTAATAAGAAAAATTCAAGACAATAAGAAATGAAGTAATGGAATTAACACATCATTGAGCCACACATTTCGTTTCTCAAAGACAGTTTTAGTACTCTGATTACTGATATCTCTGATAGACTTTGAATAGATCATTCTTCAAAATGATCACAGGAAGAATACAAAAGATTTGAATTTAAATCTCGACTGACTATCAGAGCTTGAAAATCTGAAAAAGTAAGTATTGCTTTACTAGAAGGCCACTCATGACTTTCTGTTCTATTGTAGAAATCATTGGGAATTGGGAGACTCCTTGATTCTCTAAAGACACTTCAGTTGCATTTAATTCTAGGGTAATATACACTAGCTAGTAAATACTTGAATATCTGTGATAGAAAAGAAAAAGAAATTTATTTATATTCAATAGCTGTTACAGTCCTCACTAGCGGCATTAACAGCCTCACCCCTCTGAAGCACGTTTTACATAAGTCCTTGTATGGCGAATATTGGCATTTTCTTCCACTCGTCTTGGAGAAGACGTTAAGTTCCATCACCGATATTGGACGGTTGTTGCACCCCTTAATTCGGTGATCCAACTCGTCCTAGAGGTTCTTGACAGCCTTCAGGTTTGGGCTTCGAGCAGATCAGTCCATTCTGTTAACCCCACTGTCACTATGCCAATCCATGGTCGACCTCGCAACATGACAGCTGGCTATGTCGTGCTGAATGTAACTTTAGTCCAATCTGTAAAACTGCCACAAAGTAGAAAACACATTGTCATGCAGACGAGTTCAGTAGGCGTCGGTGTTGAGTTCACCATGAATTTTTAAAAAGGATCAGTCCATATAAGAAGAAATAGCCCCAGATCATAATTTCACCTCTGCCGAACTTTACTGTGGGCCCCCAATGCATTCTGACAGGAGGCTTTCTCCAGACAGACGCCAGAGCTAGATCCTGTCATCCGAACGGTAGGTGGTGAGCCTTGATTCTTGGCTTAGAGAATTCGTTTCCATTGATCAATAGTCCACTGGCCGCCTAGCCGGCATAGTAGCCAGTGACGTTGATCGCCGTAGCGATAGGCCCGGGTTCGAATCCCAGAGAAGGCATGGCATGTTTGTAACTGTCCATCCCTTCATAGAAGGCAAGGGAGGCCACATATTAGGTATTTCCATAGTGAAATGGATACCACTTCTAACCCTTATAGTGGTGCAAAGGTAATGGCTATTATATAAGGCGCTCGCCCATTAAAAAAATAGTCCACTGTCGGCGTGCTTTGCACCACGTTAATCGATCAGCTAAGTTGGGCTTTGTAATCAAAGGCTTATGTATAGCAGCATAACCACGAAAACGAAGCAGATGTGCTTCCTTACGGATAGCATTCATCGAAACAACACTCCCGGTTGCCTGTTGAAATTCCTGGAATGTGTGAGCCATCGGCTGCTTGCGGTTGTGACGTATATCAGGAACGCAGATATCGGCATTTTCATGGGTGTCCAAATACTTATTGGTAGATATTGTATTAAACTTTAAACTAGAGGCATTAGAAATATTGTTTGTACCATGTATTCTCGTTGAAACGTACTATGAAATTTAAAGTTTGGTAGCTGACAATTTTATTATAAATAATTACAGTCTATTCGTAAATAGATCTGGTGAATTAAAGATATTCTAACTTTCTATTTCTTTTTCTAGAATTGTAATAAATGATTTGAAACTTTTGTGACATTTATTTCAGGATGGTCAGATATTAGTTATACTTTCGTAATTGGTGGCGATGGCAGAGTTTACGAAGGAGTAGGCTGGACGCGCCAAGGTATTCATACTTATGGATGGAACTCAAAATCGCATGGTATCGCTTTTATTGGAAATTATATGAATGTAGAACCTAACAGCCAGATGCTAAATGCAGCACGACGACTTATAATCTGTGGAATACAACAGGTAAATGTTACAGAAATATGTGAAAGATAAAAAAACTATAACAAAAAAACGCTATACAGGGGTAATTCCTAATTGATTCTAAGAGGAACCTTTTATTTTTACGTAAATATCTCTAAAAAAAGGATGCATACTAAAATTGATAGCATCTTTTAAATTCGCAAAATTTCCAAGCCTACTAATTTATCTGAAGCAAAATATTTTTAAATTACTAATTTAAATAGGAATACTATAATTGTTACCAAAGTGAATTCAATTGTTAAAAAGATATTTGTTAGATGAAACAAATCACTTTATTTATTTATTTTATTACCTAAGACTAGAAATTTTCTATTGATTTTATTTTCTATTGATGATACTGAAATTGAAAAGCTCATTTTATAATTGACAACATTTTAAAATGAGAAAGGTACTGTAATTATAGCTCTTTGGTTTGGATTGGAATGGATTAGACTGGATTAGTTGATTACTGCCGCTCAGACAGTATAGACGTTAGGGAAGCCGACTGTGGTAACGAAGGGCCCGAGTTTCGAATCCCGAAGAAGGCATGGTTGTAACTGTCCGTATCTTCATAGGAGGCAACAGCGGCCGCCTATTAAATGCCTCCACAATAAAATGGTCACCATTTATGAACTTTGGAGTGGCCAGTGCTCAACAGACAAGTGCCTGCCATTGGGTTAAAAAAATTATTTGATTACGGTAGAGCACATTACGTCTATCTATGTAACGAGATGGAAGCCTTCTTGGAAAAAGTTTTAATGAAAACTGACTCAACATACACGTGCATTCAACTTACACGTGCGGAAACGAAGAAAACGTACTACACACTGATCTCACTCATCACTGAGATCAGTTTCAAAGATCTACATTCAGCACTGTAGATCTTTGAAAAATGACGAAAAACATAAGTTTTTTAAAAAAAATTTTGCAGTTATAAATAATACAATGAAATCAATGTTGTCCCTTTATTTTACAGCCTATTGTTTGTTTCCCTGCCATTAAAGTATACCAATTTTATCTTTAAAAAAAACCAAGGACGACGAATAAGAATAAATTTCTTTGCTTTAAATTAATAATAATAATAAGCTCTAAGTATATTTCTTTATCTATCATTTGATACATTATTGTATTTTTAAAATATTAAATTATTGAAACCCCAAATCATTTTTTCTTTCTCGCTTGTTCAGCAGCAGTCGAGACGGTAAGACTACTGGAAACTGAATAGCTTAATTTGCGTTAGAATTTTATTGAATCTGCTCCCTGCAATGGATGTTTTGTAGCTTTCTTCGGGTGCAGTGATCGTACTAGTAGCCGAGATTCAAATTCCGGCAAACGGTGTAGTTGCAAAAGCGTATTCTTATTTTCTCCGTGTTAAAAAATATGAGCCAGTTTCCTTTAAAAACGTTTTCTAAAAAAGCGTCCTTCCTCATTAAATAAGTAATCCTCCCGCGCTTTGCCATAATCCAAATTATGAAAATTATATCAAATCCCCATTTTTAACATATAGTTTCCCTTCGAATGCCTTGAGCTAAGCTTGTGTAAGGCTTCTTTCGTTTTAAGTTATATTGTAGCGTTTTTGCGATAATTGATTAAATGAATAAGTAAATAAATTCCCTCCTTGTTTACATATTATATATATGTATCAAGAGATAATTAATTGCAAACTTCGTTATTTCAAATTTAGAGGCAAATGTAAAACATTCGATTTGTGATGCTGCTTTAAAAGTGAATAATTTTGTTAACGCTTTCCTTGGTTACCATATTTTCATACATTTATGTGGAAAATTAATGTTTATCTGCATGTACGGAAAAAGAAGGACTACAATTACCTCATTTAAAACTGTTTATAATCTTCAAGTTCTTCTTTACATTTGTCTTTATATAACATGCAAGATCTTCAGTAAATCATTGTATGATATACATTAGATCGTTGCTTAAAAATTGTTCTAATTTTCAAACATTGCTTAAAGATATTTTAGAACACATGAAAAAAGTGAAATTTATTTTATGATCTAGAGCAGGTTTTCTTAAACTGGGTGTCGCGGGACCTGCAGCAGGAGGTCGCCAAAAATTTTAGCAGTTTTGATATTTCTTTAAATTATTATAATAATTTTACAATTACCAAATATTGTTACACAATGTATCTGAAAATAGATAAAGATAAGACAATACAGACAAACAAAAAACGAAAACGTTTTGGCTCATTCTTTTTATAATATAAACGTTCATTTTCCTTGCACGTGACGCTGTCATTTCGTCTGTCACTTATTGATGGAGGTCCCACAAAATTTTTGTAAATAGTATGGAGTCCTGGGGGTAGAAAAAAAATCTCAATGATAAAGGGGGTCACGACTGAAAAAAGTTTAAGAAACCCGGATCTAGAGTACAGTTTTCTCAAAAATATCTTTAAAAGCGTCAAGATTCTCAGAAATGTTATCTAAAGTTTTACAATTATGCTCATTTTTAGATTTCCATATCCATGTAATTACTTTCTAATTTTGTCAAAAAGGAATAAAGGTTTAATAATTCGTATAATTTAAGTATTATTAATTTTATTTTCATTTGAGAAAGAAAGCGATGACAATACATGTACATTTCATTCAAAAAACGTAAGAAAAAGTGCTATTCAAAAGTTCAATTAATTATGATTTTATAAGAATATTTTCAAAACGTAAAATTTACATTAAAAAGAGAGATTTTCGATTTGTTGAATTGTTCAGAAGTCCCAAAAAACATATTTTCATTTTTTTTTTTAATTTTAAGCCTAATATTAGAAGCGCGGAATAAAATTTAATAGTTTTAAAATAATTTTTTGGAAAACAAATCTCGATTTGAAACTTTCAAAAGAATTCAAACTGGACAAAAGTACAGAAAAAGAGAACATTAGAAGATTAACCTTGTTCCGCAAGGTATATGACCTTATCCATAAGTTAACTCTATGCTGCAAGAATATTGGAAATAATTCTTTTTTCCGTTAGGGCTGGCACAGCATTCGGTATTCAAGCTATTGCAGCGAAATGGCTGTCTTCAGCATGGAATAAAGTTGCAGTTTTTTTAAAGATGCCACGAATAGAGTTTTAAATATCAACTGGAAAAGTATTGAGTATTTTCGGAGACATTTTGGTTTGATTTGGTTTATTTGATTATGGCAAAGCATACCTGGACTATCTGCCTAAGAAGAGGGATGCCTTCAAGGAGGACTTTCTAAGAGAAATGGCTAGTATACACTTTGTACATGGAAAAACCCAAAGCGTCCATGTAGCCAGCCCGTTCGCCTGAGATCGGGAACTACTAGTGTTTAAAGATTTTTAACGCTCGGCCGCCGGTCAGCCCACTTTCAGTCAGATGAAAGTCAAATTATTCGTTCTAGGATACAATTAACAAAAAGAAGGTAGAATCATAATTAAACTTAATAGATCATAATGCAATAAAGATGAATTAAGGCGATTAACATGCGATTTACAGTTAATTCCGTATCATCTAGCTGACTTTATGAGTACTCAAAACTTTAGATCATATGATATTGAGATTCCTTGAATTTTTTAAAAAAATAGTTCTTTCTTCTACGCATAACAGTTCATTCTAGTTCTGTCCATACTGTTATGAACTCTATTCTAGTTGTATCCAAGTTACAGGATTATTAGATACTTCGTGTTTTCAAGAAAAATAAGGTTAAAAAATTCCATTAAATGTGAAGAATTCTATCTTACTAAGAATTAATGAAGTATTTCATCATATTATCGTATATTTTTCTGTGATAATTAATTTTTGATTCTCGCATGAAGCCATGGCCTCAAAACTTAGAGAATTCTTCCTATTTTATTAGATGTTTTTCTTAGGAAGTTACATCTTGTTTGCCAAATTTCGCCAGAGGGAGAATCATTTGGCCACTGAATGTCCTTCACTTGAGTCTGCGTTTTCGTTCGTTAAGATTATCTGAAAATAGAAGTATAATGTTTTCAAAAATTCAAGAGAGGATTACAATCAAACCACTATCAGAAAATCAAAAAGTAATCATAAATCTGTTTACCGTACAACTTCTGAAAGCAATGAAAGAACGTAACAGTAGTCAACAACGCTACTGATATTGTGCATGCTATTTCAAATATCCTGAAGTATCTTTTATTATTCACTACATATTTATCTACCCCTCTTTTTCTTTTAAAATTCTGTTTTAAGAAATAAAATTAAAATAACAATAATAATAAAAAAAGGTTTCAGAATTTAATGGTTACCCAAAATAGTTTGTCGAGGTTTTCGCAGTCTACCATTCTGCTGACACTCCTTCCTACTAACTTTTAGCTTTTTTAATTAAGCATCATTTTCTTCGCCCTTACGCATATTCAATTGAACAACAAAATTACAAAACTTTTAAAAGGGGCATAGCAGTATCAATATTCAGTTTTTTTTAACTAAGAAGGCATTACAAATTTTTTTAATTATTTTTATTACTAACGTTTTGTATGTTTACTTTATTTATTAAGTATCGTGTTCTTGGCGCTAGCGCTGCATGAAATTCAACAGTAAAATCAGAAAATATTTAAAAACAGTATATTTTTATAATTTCCGATAGACAGTCTCGCGCACTGGAAACTTAATAATCCTGTAAGAAATGTTCTTATCCTGTACGAATAATATAATGAATCTTGTAAGAAACTCTCTGCCAGAAATGTTTTTGCCGTACAGTGTTGCCACCGCTCGCTTTAAAATCGTTGATTTTTTTCATCAAAAATTCGTCAAAGGTTTACGAAATACGAAATAGATAAGAAAACACATTTAAAATTCGGGCATCCAGGTGCCTGAATTTTGGAGGACGGTGGAGGACTACGTTATTCAAAATTTGATGTCTTTAGTTACTGTTGTTTTTAAGAATGCGAGAAACATGCATACATTCATGCAGATTTGTCCTTATTTACATTCTTTAAATATAATACAGGGCAATAATATTTGGTGGCAACAGTTTGAAAAGTGAAACGGACATTTATAGTGAAACAACGCAAAAT